AAAGGAACACAGATTGGACCATAATATCTTCATACAGTCCACTGCTTCTTGCCCGAGATGACCATAATATTTTAACATGTTCGATGACCAAATCTCTAATCTGCAATAAAATCTGCAATATTCACACCCTTAATTTCTTCTCTGATTCCCGTAGGACACCTTGCTTCACACATTTCAGAGTCAGCAGTGCAGTAGGATGGCCTACATGAACTTATGCCCCTGCGTAACCCCCAAGCTATCTCATCTCTTGATAGTTCTGTCAAACGACCAATATGCAGAAATAGCTAAACAGGATGATATTTTATTCATCATTCCTTTGCTCATTTTCTCTCCAGAGACTGACCAGCTCACAATGATATGGAGAAGAACAATGCAACCATAACCAATCAACTTTAATGGAAGCCTTGTTCCCAGCCTCTCAGGAACTTCCACCCATTCCAGGGATAGTTAAGTAATTATGCCCCATCAGAAATTAAATCTGTAACAATTTCAACAATTTGCATAATTTGAATGATAATATACAAGTTGAATGTTGAGATTTATCAATGTCTGAATGAAAGAATGAAGGTCATAGGGTCCTTGACTCTTATGTTAATAGTTACAGAGTTAGGTCAACCCATGTTCAAATACTGAAGAAGCAAGCCTAACAGACCCCTGGATCCACCATGACTTGAAAACAGTGTTTAGTTCAAACATACTATTCGGCTTAACTTGAAAAGGATTTGCAAAAACATAATACAGCTTCCTCTTACAAAATTACACTGGCATAGACATCCTAACTAAAAGGTTGAACAGAAACAATACACATTTTGTAGCATTGATTGAGAATGAGATATAGTAAGAAGACGATCACAGCCATATACACATAAATATAATACATATTTATACTCAAATCCATTATATATTTATGTTTAGTGTACAGCTATTTTCCTTGAAATCATGGACAGACGTGTGTTGTGGTTGACCCCTTTTACAATACAATGCTATTTTCAGATCAAACCTTTTGTTTGACAGTACACGGAACTTTAACTTTATGAAAATAGGATTAGGACAAGTGAAAAGAAGTGAAGAGGAAGTCTACACTGACATGTAATGTTAATGTACCTTACTATCTCACTTCAATAAAAAAAAGCATAAAACATGATAACGGCATCTCGGTATAGCTTGTTTACATTTGAATAGGAATGGAACAAAATTATATCATACAAATTCACTAACTCATGAATATGGCGATGTATTAATATTAAAGAACTTGTCAGACATTTGACATCATACTGGATATTATATCTTAACATTTCATTTACATTTACAACTTTACCATCAATACATTAGTGCTACTGGCAATGCAATTAAATGTTTCAAAATTAATTAATGGATCATTTCATTACCCCTCTTCATTTTGGCATCTGTCTCATTATTCTAAAGAGTACAGACTGAAGCATCATGGTCAAGGGTCCTCGGGGTGTTTTAGTAGGATCAAGTTCCATTATCACGCCAACGGTCAGATGACTCTGTGCATCCCCAGACACTTGGGTTATCTTCAGCATCCGCCCCTATCCTTAGTTCATCATAATAATGTTACTAACAAGATGTCTTCCACTCTTGTCAATAACAAGGATCTGGGCATCCTATTAATACACTTGAAAAACTTGATCATTACTTTTGATCCTTTCAGCCCTAGGCTTCATGTGACCCTCTCATAAGTATTGATGATTCCCCAAATACATATTACTCTTTTGTCAAATGATGAATCTATTTTATGCATTAATCTGAAAACTGTCTTCATTCTAATAATATCAAGTTTCAATACTGGGTACAATTATCTATATGGCATCTGTAAGCATGGATCTTCTGACAAAATATACTTCCTTTCAAAAGTTTAGACTCACGAGTGTAAATATAGCCACTTACTTCAGGCAACTGTTCTAAACTAAAGTTTGCAAAATATTCCAAAATATTCAAGTATTTAAAGGTACTGTTTACATATGAACTGATGTATTGTAAACAAAGTCGTAACATTGAAAAGATTATTGTCATGAGTTCAATAAATGATACAAATCAGTGAAAATTGGCGAATTCTTAACAAAACTTTACACCAAAACGTAGCTGTTCACATACACGATATTTGCACATGCTTTCCAGCAATTTGATGCATGATCCTCATGCAATTCATCTGCATAAGGTTTGCAGTTGGTTCTCCCAAATTAGTTGAAAAATGAATCTTTGATGTAACCATATATATATGACTCTAAACTTTTGAAACGAAGTATACATTATGATACAATGTCCAAAAAAGGGAACAGTTTTTCATATATACCAAAAATATTACCATATATACAAGGTATGCGACACAAATAAATCAATTTAGGCGTATTTAACTGCAAAAATTTGACAAAACAAAATTTCCAAAGCATACATGTTCTGTAAGTCATATCATTAAATTAAATCTGTCCTTCGCACATTACAGGCCTATTAATCAATGTCAAAATTACTTCCTCTAACACAAGCAGTGTTTGTGCAGAAGACTCCAAGGAATGTATATTGTAAGTCTGGGAATTATCAACACAGTGCCATCGACCCTGACCCTAGCCTGGGTTTGTACATGTATAGTTAATTCAGTCAAATGACAGACTTGGCCATGATGGTTATCAAGGGGCTTGACACTTGGCCCTGTTTCATTCACCATCCTGACACAAAGACAATGCCAATTGCATCATGATCTATATTCCCTGCAGTAGTGAACTGTAACACTGATACAGACGCTTAGAGTGAAGATTATTCAGGCTGAGACTTAATATTCCCAGTGATACACAGAAAGAGAATACAATTCATTTACTTGACCAGTTCTTCAGAGAAATCAAAGTATCATTTTCAGCCTTAGGATAAGCAAGTGAATTATAATTCAGATTCAGATCAGCAGTATTTCATTCATATTTTGATTCTTGGGGGGCACCTGGAACTTCACTGATACAAGTTCATAACAGGTAGTTCTCTTGAACACATAGACGCATTAACTTGATGAAAACAATGCTAGATTCACTAATCAGTAATTGTTTCACAAACTTTGATCAGGCAAGTTAGGTATTATAATTTGTGGCAAAAGGGCAGTTATTAGGTCAAAGACTGAGGAAAAACGTTAGAAGTCTCATAGTGATGCTTGGGCTAAATCATATAACCCATGACTTCTACTTTCAAGGCAAAATTGATCTTCACAAATTAATTATTTAATGAAAGCTAAGAATAGAGGAGCGAGAAAGGCTTTTCTCTTGAGCATGTACAGACAGAAACTCCCAGCAAAAGACTGAACATTGCACTGTCAGCATGTATCACTGCATGCCTTCATACACCACTGTCAGAGTTGGCATCCTAGTGGTCTACTTCTAGAGTCTTTAAATCAATCGATTGTATTCATGTGTACTTATTTAACTACTGATGGGATGGGTCTTTGCACAAAAAATATGCAAAATAAAAAGCAGAGCTGCTCCTGATCAGATACAAATCAAAAGTAACCTGCAACAACATTTTTAGGAAAATAATTTTAAAACAACATTCAGTCATTTCAACACCCACCATACTGGACCTGAGGGAGTAACACTATATAGAACAGCGGCGAATGTGAAGTGTCAGTACCAACAATATTTCAGTTCATAGTCAATGCATACTTACTCTAAACCTGGCAAATGCTTGGAGCAAATGGGTCAAACTATTTACAAGACATGTACAATGTTATTCTAGTTTCTACTGATGGAAACAACTCTAAAGATTGCTGTAATTGGAAGTGCTAGACATTCATGAACCAGATAGCTGTAACATATGCAACCGGAAAGATTTCCGCCAGTAACCCCTGTATTTTTTTAATCATTATATGCCTATGTTTTTTTATAAACTGCCTATAACATAACCCTAAACCCTCAAAATAATGCTAATAAATAGAATACATTTCAAGTGGGGGTTATGGGCGGAACTCTTACCAATACCTGAACTTCATGATTGTTTCATTGACAAACAGTAACACACTCAACACCACAATGGTATATGTACACATAGCAGTATTGCATTATGCCCAAATTGGCACTATTAAAGAACCCTGTCAACAAATATACATCATTCACAATACCTTTAACAGCTAAAAAAACCACCCGAACCTGTGATGGTACATCCAAATACACGAAGGTCATGTAAGCTATGAAAGGTATCCTGGCCTGTCCCTCAACTGTGACGCCCACACGAATCTAAAAATAACTGGGCTGGGGGAATATGTCACTCATCCCTAATTCTTGAGACATTATACGTGACCAGTCACAATAAAGTTAAATTCGTATTTTGATCGAATGAAAATAGAAAACATCAAATTTCTTGAACACAAGAACACTGATGCAGCGATACGATGAAGCCACACACCTGAGTGACTACCTGTTCGTCCCACAAGTTAGACGCTGCGCTTCAGTGAACATGACAAACATGCCCCCAGTTCACCTGCATCCTGCACAATCAGCATTCCCACACAGTCAGGTATTAAAGACAACCAACGATAGAATGCTGTGCGTGAGATCTATTGGAATTCACGCCTGATAAAAATGAACGTACTTACTTTGAACAACTTGTCGCGTGTGAAGAAAATGCACATGAGGGGAAATAAAGTTAAAAGTACTCCCCGCGCACAACAAATACACACAACAGCTATCCACGTCTATTCCACACGTCTATTCCACACTTAGAGCCCAATCACAAATATTAAACAGAAATGTGTTACATCCTAGATCTTCTCAACCGACCGATCACAGGTATGCGAGAGCGGGTGACTCATCGGTATCCGTTCCGTACGACATGTCCGACCAAACTGGGTCAATTTGAAAATCCCGTAGGTAGGGCCTATCCCAGCCGAACGACAACTTACCAAAGTCCAATGCACAATGGGGTCTGTTCATCAATATGACGTCTCCTGCAAGAAGAGGTATTTGAAAACAATCCTAAGAATATACTGATCACTAAACACTTACTAGTTGGTGAACACAGACGTCGCCACAAGCGTCACAGCGCCGGATAAACAGGTAAGCGCGCGCACCTAGTGGTGTCCACCTAAAGTGATGACGTAGAACACAGGATTAAATTTTATTATCTGCGCGATCAAGGCTTGGTGGATTACTCACAACAAACGCGCCTTCCGAAACGTCTTAAGAAATTAATTTTCAGTGGCAGTGACTGACATTTCGTCGAATTGATTAACACGTCACGGAATCAAATATGTTAGCAATCGATCTGTATAGTCTGTTCCCGAATTGCAATATTTTTTAAACCAGAAAAACCGTAATGCTCATAAACGGATGCTACCAAGCGTAACTAAAGCATTTCCAGCATTAATATCGATTTTTGTCAGCAAATAACGCAAGAGGACGGACATGTCTGAACGCCTCGTACACTAGTCGGGCGCCAAGACTGAACAAATCCAAATTACTTTTCGCAATCACATCGCGAGAGAAGTCTCATTTGAGCATTAATTGTTAATTAACCATGTGTCAACTCAGCTTTAAATTACGAGATACTCTTTTGCCATTTGTAATATCGTAGTGTGAATACAGACGAGAGAGTTCAGCAGACATGTTCTCAATTTTTTTATGACAATGGTTTATGTTCCGACATCTCAAGTCCAGGCAATAGATTTTTAATTTGTTTTTATCATAATTAACGTTACTTTGAAAAAGTTTCAAGTTTTGAACTTAAAACATCAATTATTTTGGCTGTTAAAATCCACAATAACAAGGATAAAAGTCACATAAAGGCCAGAGTAGCTTGAATAATATGTGGATAGTATTGTCTGGCTGTAATCTGACCCCCGGCGTTCAAGTTGATGGGGGTGGATGGGGGTAGCGAATATACGATAATTAGCTTCAGGGGGTGATTAGAGTAATTAAAAGTTGACGAATTACCACCACATCACTAAAGTTTTATAAGTTGGGACGGTTTATTGTTTTATTGATTTATTACCACAGTGACATTTTGTTTGCTTAAAGAACGTATACTCCGTAACAACAGGTATTTATCTGATGCCCTCCTATGTAGTAAAAAGTTTGGTTTGAGGTTGCAGCATGTCAGACTTGCCACCCCCGTACCAACACACATCCACACACGCACGCACACACATGTACAAAGAAAGACGAAAGGACGTAAAATGTCCGCCTGTCTGCACGCACACACCCACTGCCCAACACCCCTGCACACTTTTATTTGTCTAATTACCCATAATGTACAATACACAATTCTCTGTTCCTCAAACAATCTAATGCCGAATATCTACATAGAGTAGACCACTTACCGACAGAGATTATATATACATGAGGGATATCACCTCTGTAAAACATAAGATAGGTCAAGGCAGAATTCGAATTTGTAACAAAGCCATTTTATATGATATATACACAATAATTATTGATGAATCGAGAGTTAGGTGCTTCTTGGAAAATACAGGTGATAAATAGGAACGAGATTGTAGTCACGTGTGTCTCTGAGTGTAGTACACGTGTCGGCTATGGAACTCACGACTCATAGTTTATTCATTCATAAATCCACGTGGATGTAACATTGTTCAAGATTTTCCGAGCCTATCCTATTTTGATAACTAGCACGCAGTCGAATAGATGTCGATAACTGATAACGGATCAATACATGTATATACATTCACGACCACTTACACGCTGTTTGTACGCATATTAGCAGCTACTGATACCTTTGAACCGTTAAAGGGCTGGATGAAGATGTCTATGTGCGTGGTGTTTGCATCATAGTTCCAGATAGCCCCTCGATTATCGTGTTACGACTACATACATGTCTACTGTATATTCCATGGTGTTAATAAACGTCATTACATGCGTTGAAATGGCGTAGGTGCGGTGAATTGGAACATTAAGATGCATGTCGTGGAATGTTTAGACATTCCTCATGGGTGTTAATGAATGCAGGAGACGTGTTTCCCGACGTTGGGTTTATCTGTAATAAATAATGAACAAATTCAATCAAAGTGTAAAATCAGTCCATGTGTAAATTGCTTGATTTCTTTTATAAACTGATTGTAAGGTTTACTGCCAGTTACGGGGCGGTGGGGAAGCCTAGTGGTTAAAGCTTTGGCTCGCCATGCCGAAGACCCGGGTTCGAATCCCCACATTGGTACAATGTGTGAAGCTCATTCCTGGTGTCCCCCGCCGTGATGTTGCTGGAATATTGCTAAAAGCGGCGTAAAACCAAACTCAGTCAGTCAGTCAGTACTACCAGATACTCCTAGCTATTGTGATTTAAATTACGATCTGTCTTGTAATGTGTAAGTTCGAATTATTTCTATATCCTTCTAAATGCAGCCACTCAACAAGTCATATTTAATGTTAAACAAAATAATTTCCCAATCTCTGTCCACTCCCCCATCTCCATCCCACACACACTTCACAATGCTTGCAAATTATATATTCATTTGTAATAGCTAATAATACCACCAAGTACAATTATTCATCTGTTTAAATAATAATTTCCATATATAGGTTGATATTTAAACATGCTGTATACAAAATGTATAACAAGTTATAAACCAGGAGTGTTTATGTATGAAGTGCGCCTTTTTTATTTTCAGTGTAGTTGCTATCAAAATATCTAATTTATCAGAGACGTTTGAGAGTTATTGTAAACCTTATGTGTAGATATGTATGGAAACACATTGCTTATTACATATTCCGTAGATATGTATGGAAACACGTTGCTTATTACATATTCCAGATATTGTGGGGTGTACAAATACTGCTATGGTGTACATGACAGTCATCAAAGCTGTCACAGATGCCATGCACTAAACTTCCTTAAGTCAAAAAATAAAAGTTCAATGTACAAATTCCGTGTTATTACTTTGTTTCATTGTGATGAGAATAATGTTCGTTTCATTAGGATGTGAAATAAATTTGAATAGAAATTCAGGAAGTTGGCAACTAGAACAAAGCCATCAAAGTGATGGATACGGTTTCATGTGGGTGAATGTATGACACATAAAGTGACGTCAGTCACACACATACCGGTGCATTGCTAATGAGTGGGTCAGGTGCCAGGCCGCCGGATCACCTGACGTCATGGTGCGTTAACAGGAAATCATTCACATATGATGTTTCTCTATTTATCATAAGTATGTGACAACAAACGATGAATAGAGTATGTGTGTTTCGTTACATCGAGAAAAATGAATAATTGCTCAAGATTTCTCTTGTAGATATGAAGCTGTTAACATCCATATACCAACCAGCCAACCAACCAAGACCGTTGCAATCAACTGTATGTTATACTGTATGTATCTCGTGAATGTAGACATGTATGGGGTATTTGTTCCACATGAGTGCACTGTCTACAACTGATATGAAAACAAGTTATGAAAGTAAATCATACGTTTGAAACTGCACTAGGTAATAAATTAACTTAAATTAAAAAGGTCTTTGAGAATGAATATGCTTGTCACTGTATATATTGTCATATGACCACAACCACATGTCACGCATGCGCCTCCTTCGTCATGTCGTTGTACAAGATCATGCATGGGTTTCTGTTTTGTTAGACCTTTTGCCTGATGATAAATCATATTTTGTGCATATAATCATAGAAACAATCAGAAAATATATGTTGTTTGACGAAGATCTCATCGTAAGCGACGCAACAGAAAATTGTAGAAAATGCAGTGCATTAAAAATTATACCTATTATTTAAACTGTATTATTATCGTTATTTTACGTTCATTATTTGGGACTATGTATCTACATGACATGGTCGTCTCTTTGCTTACACGTTCATGTCATACAATTGTCATGAGCAGATGTGATTATGGCTTAATACCCTTTTTGTTTTCACGTTTCTCAGGTAAAAAGAATGGAATAAACATAGGTTTCATTACTGAACTATTGGCATCCGCGCCTGAAGTAGAATTCCATGGCATCCATGGACTGGGCATCCCGAATACCACAGCCTAGTAGGAGCAGGGGGTGTCGCGGACTTGATGTGACGCATGGCGTTGTAGATCGATGCTCATGAAGTCAATCACTTCACTCTCGCTCGAATATTTACAGCCCGTAGCTAACGTTGAAAAAGACCAACACAGACAAGTGAAACCTACACTGTCAACAAATAGACAGAGTGTTTGGTACCGAATGTAAAATCAATAGCATTTTATGCACACATGCATTTTAGATTTGTCCAATGTGTTGTCTGTCGGCATGTGTGACAGATGGCAAGTGCTGTTTGCCACGACTGCTGTCGGGGTCAGGTAAATTCCAGAAATTCGAGGTTGCGTGTGTGTTATTGTGTTGGTTTGTGGAACAGGTTATCCTATACTGAACGACGAGGCGTTTGCCGATCGTCAGATCCATCAATGAGCGTTTAATTAAGAGTATGGGTATATCTCACCGCAGCCTCCCCAGGCCCAGATCGATCTCAGGGGGGTGATTGATGGGGATGATTACCCTTTTCTAGTCCTTATTGATTAACACTTGTCGTCATTAGGTCGATTTCATTTACACTGATAGTCCTGTCATAACTATACTACCACAAAGACGTATACGTCCTTGACTACCACAAGTGCCCAAAGCAAACGGGGAGGGGAGATAACTCTCATCGGTGTTCAGCTCTGACTATAATCCATCACTCAGCAACGCTCCGCTCTATGTTGGCAGCCTGGGCGTAGATTTTCAAAGCTCTCTCAGAGCTAAGACAGTCGTAAGTTGATGTTGATGTATGGTATTTACGACCATCTCAACACTTAGAGAGCTTTGAAAATCTAGGCCCTGGCCCTGGCCCAGACATTAATCCAGAAATTGACATGAGCACGCAACCGGGATACGTGTTCGGACATCTATGAACAGGTCTGCGCACTGAAGCGTACCCCACAGCTCCTGTTGATTGTTTATCACGTGTCCAAAAACCCTTAGGCATATGTATGTTACTGACAACTTATAATCGTAAGTTTGAAAGTGCAGTTCCGCACAGGAATTCCTACATGAGCCCAGGGAACAATACTACCTATAAGATCAACGCGTATTTACATGGTTTATGTTTTACAGAGTACCCCCACCAATAAAATAATT